CATTCGAGCTAAGCGGCCAAATACAACTTCATACGGCGTATGTTTGGTACTTTCTTGTACACAGGTATTGTAGTTTAGGATAGCTAGGTCGAGCCAATCATCCCAATCGTTGTCAAGATCGGTGTATTGCTTTAAGTACTCAATTAACACGTGATGAGATCTTTCTAGGGAACCGTTCGACTGAGGCATGAATGCTGTGGTTTTTAATTTCTTTATTTTGAATCGCTTGGAAATACGCGTCATTAGCGAACTCAAAAAATTTCTGCCTTGATCAGTAAGCACAGCTTTCGGACATCCAAAAACACAAATGAATTTCTTAAGAAATGCATCCGCTATTGTTGATGATAAGGTGTCTGCTAATGGGACAGCTAGACAAAATTTACTTAATTGATCCTGTAAGGTTAAAATGTATTCGTTTCCTTTTATTGTTCTATATCCTAGTTCCACTAGAACAATATCGAAACAAAGACACCAAACTTATATTAATACTATATTTCAATAATTAGAATGATTTTAAAAAAAAGTCTGAACTTCATACTTTTACTAGAAATCTCAATCTAATTTATCGTAATAAAACCTTATCTATTTCTGTGTATAAACTAAGGATTATCGCGAATTATTTTACTTATAATTGTAAATTTTCAAATGACTTTGCTAATTTATCTACTTTATTTGCTAAAGCCCTTTTTGAAATCGTATTCCTATTAATTAGTTTGTTATTAATTTTTACTTGCTTCCTAAGATTTTTAACTTGTTTCTTTAGGGCAGTATTTGTTTTTATTAAGTCTACACAAATATTTCCCAAACTAGCTATCTGTTCAATTCTATGCTTATTTTCTAATTCAAGTTTCGCGACACGTGCGCTAAGACTACGACCGTTATTATTTATTCTTGTGATATCGGAACTATGATTATTAACCCTATCAATTACGGATATTTGACTGTCCTTTAAATGTGTAATATCTTCGATTAATTCATCTACCGTGTCGACTACTTCGTTAGAAAAAGTATTAAAACTTACGAACGGTGGCATTACAACTAAAAGAAAGACCAAAAATCTTATTTATCTAAACAACGAAATTTTATTAAAACTTATTCGTTTGTAGAATTATGAAAACTGTATGTGAACGTTTTATTAAAATTTTATTTTTACAGATATATTGCGGCAATTCATTTCTTAGATATAAATTTTGATTCCTACAGAAAGATATTTATCTTTATTTTTACTTAAACTTTCTTAATTAAACCTTTCATTCTTTGATACTATTTGTTTTTAAAATTATTTATTTTACTTATAACAGGCAATTTTCTTATTTAAATTTTTCTAGTTTGCAAAATTATTTATTTCAAAATTTCTACTTTTATATTATTTTTCTCAGCAAGATTTCCTAAATTTCTTTTAAACACAATACTCTTTTATTTTTACTCCGAGTTTTATTTATTTATTTATTTTTAAGTTTTCTTCCGCAAGATTTCTAATTTCTCTAATTAATTTTTATTGCTAATGTATTTCTTTCCGACTCAGACAAGATTCGTAATATTATCTCAAAAAATTTTCCTGTATGTTATTTTCAATCTTTCTAAATTAACCTTTTTATTTTTAAATACAATTTTTAGAACAAAACATAAATTCAAAACCCTCTTTTTTCTATAATAAGCATTTATTCTTATTTCTCTCTTCAAGGCACAAAAGAAGACTTTTCTTTGGACGAATTTTCTATTCTGATTTATAATTTTACTTTCATAAAAAATGATTCTTCTCTGAAAATTTTTTCAAATTTCAAATATTTTTCAAACTCTTTTCTTAAACAACTTAATTTTCTTTATTTTTCTCTAACTCTTCTATTAATTTACTCATTCAAATTTCAATATTTTCTAAATTATTTCACTATTCTTTATTACAAAATAAATTCCCATTAATTTTCCCAAAATTTTCCTAAGTTCAATCCAAATAAACTCCAATTAATTTTCACTTTCAATTTAACCTATCTCCTTGTTTAACACAAAACTTATTTTCTATTTTCTCAATTAAATCAGTGATTTTCTGACTAATAAATTTGTATTTTTATTCAAAAAAAAATTTTATTACTTTATTTTATTCTTCACAGATTTCAAATTCAATAAAATACTTTAAGTAGTATCTATTCTTAATTTTCTTTTACTCTAACTGATCACTGATATAATTTAAGAAAGGAAAACCCTAACAGTTTTCTTTGCAACAATTTAATCCCTCCGGGGCCTCCAAAATTTTTATGTGACGTCGGGGTCACTCTCAGGTACGCTTGGAGCAAGCGTAAACTCAGGGTTGCTCTGATTTGGCTATCGTGTAACACACAAGCCGGGACGAGCAATATTGTTGCGTTGAGAAAACTGTATGCTAACGGGGAATGTAATAACCAAATGTTATTACGAACACACCAGACTCACGCTTAATGTGTTCTTAAGGGACTTTAATGGAAATTCACCAGACTCACGCTTAATGAATTTCCAAAAGAAAGGCGGATTACTTAAAGAAAGAAAAGGATAGCCAGGTTTAAGATTTTACTTACTTTTATTTTATCAATTTAGTTATTATTAATGTTGCGTTCTCTCTCTGCTCTTTGGCCTCTTTCTCTCTCTATATGTTCTGAATATAGTTGGGTGATTTGATGCTTGCTCCGGGACTCGCTCACTAGTAAAAACTTCTTATTACGGACTTCCTGGTGCTCACTCCGCACTTACTCTATCTGAACTTGACTTCCTCTAACTTAACTGACTGAACTGAGCTTAACTTCACTTAACTTCCTCTCCAGCCTTGTACAGAGCTTTTTATAAGCCGTGGGTGGTTGGGTGGAAATCCCTTTCCTCAGGCCCATGAAGCGATAACGGCTAAATTTTGTATTGGTCGGAAATTTTCTAATCATATTCAGAATTTCTTTATTGGTCTGTGGGCGTGAATTTTCAGAGAGAGAAAGGGCGGTCCCTTTTTAACTTGGGCCCTTTTCTCCAGAGATGGCTCTCGGAGTGCCACTTTTAAGAGCAAGAGTAACGCTATAGCTTATAATTACTTATACATAATTGTACTAAACTTAATTAATTATGACGATACATAGTGACTATTATGAACATTCAGAAAAATTCAAACCTTTTACGATTTATTATAAAATACATTATTGTTCTATTTATTGGTTATTCGGTGACAAAAAGGTGCGCATTATAATGGCTTACAAAATTGATGAAAATCTATTTAATATTACGGATATTTTCTTAAAAATCGGTGGGAAAAAAAAAGATAGATTGCATTTTTATGGTCCCCTTCCATTATCGGCGTGATAACACTTCACGATGTATACGCGATGATCGTAGGCCCCTGTCAACACATACGTGTGGGACAAAGCAGGATAGAGCGTTGATTGTAAGCTTGAGTACGCAGGCTCGGGCCACTATCAAAGTTTATATTTCGAATGCGTTTTCATCGTGGGAAATCAGGAAGGTTCCCACTCCGTTCGTCATATTTAATAATTAAATATAAAAAAAACTAAGTTATGGCTAGCCGTCACATTTGACTCATCATTTTAATAAGAAAAGATCTCTTGTCATTTTTTTTGGAAAATAAAAATTTAAAAAATTGTGAATTTTTATGGGTCTCAAATTTGGCGATTTTCACAAACTTTGGAAAATCCTTGTTCCCGATTGATAATTATAGTTTTTTAATTCATGTAACTATGATAAGTATTCACTTTGATAACTGTATGTAAAGTAAACCGTACTGCGATAATTATGAACAAATTTAGTGCGCGAGTACATTCATCTCCTTCAGAACCACATGAATGATTCATAAAAGAAGGAGCACATTGTAACGAATAAATTATCGTATTTATTTGAAATACGGTGGCCTCGAGTACTTATCAAAAAGGATCAAGTATAATTCGAATTTCAAACAATAACATACATACAATTCAAATCCTTTCTTTCTTCGTGTAACTAGGCAACAAAAACCAATAATTGCGACTTAAAAAAACAAAATTAAAAAGAAAAAGAAAGCTACCTTCTTGAGTTTTTAATTCAATGATTCGTTAGCGATTCTACTTTAATAATCTAAATATATTTGAACTTTTATTGTAACTAATATCTTTATACGAAGGTGAAAATAAAGTCAAAAACAATCCTACCAAATATCTAGAAACTCACTATTTGATAATAAAAATTAAATAAAATATTAACCCGAATTCTGAGTCTTATAACTAAAGCAGCAGGATACGTCTGATTGTGAAAGGTAACATCTTTGTGAAAGATCATTGCAAAAAGTCAATATACATGACAAATTCGTTTATAATTATGTATATTGACATTAATTTTATGGCTTTTGCGAAATACTGCACAATGGTGCAAGAAATACATAACGTAGTAGCAGTTCCGAAATTGAAAATGATTACATAAATACAAGAATGAGCACAATTTGGAGACCGCAAGGTCGTCGTTTTGGCGTGGCCGAGTGCGGATCATACGAAAAAGAAGCTAGTGACAAAGGTGAATGGCATAAGAGCATCGTTTCGGCATTTATCGTCGATAGACTTGTGAAATTTGTTATGACAACATCTCTGCAAGGTCCATCTCCAAGTATAAAATAGCTCGAAGCTGCAGTTGATGGTACACTTGGTCCTCTAAGTCTTCTCCCGTTCGGGTCTGTTCTTAACTCTGACGAACACGCGTATTCAATCCAATATGAAAACCGTAAGTAAATTCGACTGGTAGATTATCCAATCAATGCTTTTCTTGAACGGACCTTATTTTCTATTTTTCAAATGTACTGACAGCTGCTACACATACCGAATTACCAATTACCGTTTTTTATTGTTTTACCTCTATTTTTTTCATTCAGAATTTATATTGGTAAAATAACAATTTCTTTTCATATAAGCACTTTCGTTCACGATACTCTATGTGATTATTGAATACATTAATAATAGAAATTTTTTCTGTCTCAGTTAATCGTTTTCTCTGCTATCCTCGCCGTGACCATGGCTGGCCTTCTTCCTCTCCACTACGATCCTACAGTTTCTAAACCCGAGGTGGTGGTCGTGAGAGAAGCCCCCTTGGACGGCGTCGGCCTCGACAGCTACCGATTCGCCTACGAGCTATCGGACGGCCAGACGCGCAACGAGCAAGCCCAGGTTGAGGCCCGCGCCAACCCAGAAGAGTCGGTGCTCAGAGTCTATGGATCCTTCAGCTGGGTCGATCCAGCCGACGGACAGACCTACACCGTCAACTACATCGCTGACGAGAACGGCTTCCAGCCCCAGGGTGCTCACCTTCCCGTCGCTTAAATCGTTCCTCGACATCGAGTCTTTATAGTTCAATAAAGCATTTTATTTTTTTAAACTGAAATTCAATTATATTTCACTTTCTTCCCTTTCAATATATAATTTTTTTAAATTCTGACGGTACATTAATGTAGATTTTTTTAATTAATTTAAATTCAGTTCAAAACCACTCGAAACAATGAACTCATTACTTTATGCAATAAGCCAAAGATTATAAGCTATAAATATATTTACATAGATATGGTGAGAGAGTGGAAGTCCTTAACATGAAAAAGCATGACATCAAGTCATTTCGGGTTGTGTAATTTTTTATTTTATCTTATCAGAAAACTTAGAAAATTAATGAGAAATATCGTTAAATATTTCTTCCAATAATTGTATATTAAAACTATTCCGAGTGGCTATTTATACTGAGATATTGTAATTTGCTTGATTTGTTAGAATAAGATAGTTATATTTAATGATAAAAAATATCCGATTAATTTAGAACGGAAATATTTCATGAAACCTTTTAATACCGTTGTTATGATACATTCATCACAACTATGTGTATTACAATTGTAATGCAAGAACAAGGCTACGCTTCTTTTTTTTCTATTTGTGATATCGAAGTTCCACGGGGAAAATATAAAAACCAACATACTTAACCTCAGTAAAAAGGAAATACCTTTGTTCGAAATTGTAACAATGTTACATCTCCAAGTTGGAACCGAATATTTTTGTACCAAAATACGTTATATGCGTCAAAAAGATTGTAACCATGATTATTTTCAACTATACATTTAATCAATTTATATAACGTGACAAACCCTTTTGACCGTGGTTTCTGTTCAAGCTTGCTATTACTATAGTTCCAATACAGAAAACTTATTTAGGAATAAGTTTTCGTTAAAAAATAGTTTATACGACATTACCTTGAAAAAAATATTTTTCAAGATAATAGATTGCTCACGTGATTTTTAATATACCACAATCGAAGAAATTCCCAATCCGGAAGTTAATTCTTTCGTTCGTCAGTTTACAAGCAATATAGAATGCATGAAATTCGAATACCAGTTCAGTCATGATGAGTATGACATCATTTTTAGTGAAGCTTGCAAGCAGCACACCATAACTTTTCGAATATTCTTGAATCGAGTATATAAATACGACGTGAATAAAACTGTAATTGAAAAGTTATTACGTTCTATAACCTTAGTGTGGATCCAAAGTAAGTGCCTGCTTTCTGAGAAAATAGAATTAAAATCAATATTTGGTATGAAACTGAAGAAGGAAAAAAAATATTTCAAACTTTAATCAAAATTGGAATTGGCAAATATATTCCGATTCTCTTAGGTACAATTATTTCTATTATTAAGGACCAAAAACATTTATCTTCGTAGCCAATATAGTCAAGAAAAATAATAAATTTTAATTAATTTTGGATTATATTAAATCTGATGTAAATTCGAACTATTCGATGTAACAACTGAAATTTAGGATTATGGACTCTTATTGAATAAAGTAATGAATTTATTGTTTCAAGTGATTATGATTTGGATTTAAATTAACAAAAAATGTGCGAGCAAAAAAAAGTTCGTGTGTTTTTTTATTGAAAAATAGAATTTGCGTTGTTGATTACGCAAATAACTTAAGCTGAACAAATAATTAAAATTAATAATTAATAATTAATTAAAAATAATTAATAGCCAAAAAAGTATTCTAATTGGAATCCTACGAAATAAAACGAAATTTTTAACTCTACGATAATATGTAAAATTGAAGATTTTCATCTTTTGAATATTTTAAAGATGAAACGATAAATAAAATGTAAGATATATACAATCGATTGTTGTTATTGTTATTGTGACTTCAGGAACTATGTCCACGTGGAACGATGCAGAGGTACACTAGGTACATTTACGTATTAGTTCTCGTTACCTATAGTCATGGATATGTAGATTGCTTGAATAATTATTGAACAGAAAATTACTGTGTTTAATACTTTGAAAAATAAATTAAAATTTTTAATAATGTTTGAATGGAATATATTAATTACTATAAAAATATTAGTTTAATTTTTCTATCTGTCGCAATGTTCTATTTGTTCAGATAAAAACTAGATAGGTTTATGAAAAGCAATAACTGTTGTTACGTATGCATCCACGGTTTTCATTTTGGATTGAAGATGAGTTGCGTGACAACGAAAGTATCTGAAAGTCGTAAAAGACTAAGTGTGCCATTAACTGCAGGTCCGAGCTAATCCATACTCAGAGGTAGACCTTGTAGAGATGATACCTTAAGAAATTTCACTTGCCTATTGGCGATCAACAACGCCCATCAAAATCTGTTTTTCTACCATTCATCTTATCATTCGTTTTTTTTTCGACCCATCCTCATTTGACGAATGACCTTCATCCGTTTATGCTCTCGCATGCGAACCGTTAAAACCATATAACTTCGCATACCTTCTGGCTATAATTTTGTACCTACTTTCATATCGATTTTTCGCTAAAATGTTTCAAAAGTCATTAATTATGTTATTCGGCCTCATCCTATATTTTTGAGAGATCAATATCAAACATATTCAGCGCTTAGTTTAAGTTCTGTATCACATTTGGAAAACATTTTTGTAAAAGCTAATATTTACTGAGATTCTATTTTCAATTATTTATTCTGTTAGTCAACTTATTCACGTGCACGCGCTTTTTAATACGCGATTATATTATGCTATAAAACCGCAATAAATGAACTTATTACAGTGCATATACAATTAATCTTCCAAAACAGCGTTTATTTTCAGTATACGACATATATGTGCACACTTTCTGCAGAGTTAAAACATGTCAACTTTGTTCTAAAAGTAAGAATAACAATAACAAAAAAAAAGTACCATTACCATAAATGTGACAATGCCTATCTTTAATAAGTTAATAGCGTGGCAAATCATTGTTCTTTTGTACACCTGACTTTGCCCATTTTCGGAGTTTGAAATTAAGTTTGTTTTTCGATTGCTCTAAAATTATGCATTTCGGTATTTTCAATTTGATCACAACATGAATAGTTAAGCATTTGTAGAGCAGAACAAATGGCAACATTCTTGACAAATTACGTTATACCCCTGAATGATATATATATATATATATATATACTATGCGACGGATTTTCTTACATATACGGCTATTATTATTTTATTATTATTTTTTTTATTATTCTATTTTTTATGAAACTATTGCATTTGTAAATGTTACTTTTTCTGTTAAATATAAATTCAATTAAATAAAGATATTTTACACTATTCTAATTTGAGACAGTTTTTAAAACCTGGTATACGTTTCTTCAGTTTGTCGACTCTTGATAAAAACTAAATATAATTTATTTTTACCAAATATCAGAATGATTTCGTAAAATTCTTTGCTTATTCTATACAATATATCTACTCTCGATAACATTTTTATTTTCTTGCATGATATTGATTTTTTGAAGTATCAAATAGTATAATATTTTGTTTATTGCGGCTATGTTATAAAGAAAGTTCATTAAAATCTACACTACTTGCGTAAGTTCAACCGTTGGAGAAATTTGCAAAATGATATTTCTGGAAATCACGTGATTCGAGGATTTGTTAGCTCGTTTATTGCCGACAGGCATGTGGGATGTCTTATGGCATCATCTCTACCAGGCCCACCTCCGAGTATAAAATAGCTCGAATCTGCAGCTGATGGCACATTAAGTCTTCCACAATTTGTCTTGTTCGGATCTCCTTCGTCGATACAACGAATCCATATCAATTCACAATGAAAACTGTGAGTACAACTACTTATATACCATCGATACTTTTCTTCTATAGGCCAAATTTCTATTCAAATAAATATAACTATAGATATAAACGTTGGAAATTGACGATAGTATGCGTTTCTATTTAAACTTAGTTTACTATATTTCAACTTAATGCTTCTGATATATATACGTATATAGAAGTAATTTTATATCATATATATCAATACTTCTTTTCTATCACATATTTAAGTATATATATAACTGTATGATAAGTTGATATACATTCGGGAGATAAAAAATGTTGCCGCCAAAATTAAGTGTCTTTATTTGTTTATTTGAAATTTGTATTATTACAGTTTATCGTTTTTTCTGCTTTCCTCGCCATTGCCATGGCTGATCATCTTTCTTCTCACTATGATCCTGAAGTTCACAAACCTGAGGTGGTGGTCGTAAAAGAAACCCCCTCGGACAACATCGGTCTTGGCAATTACCAATTCGCCTACGAACTGTCGGACGGCCAGAAGCGTGATGAGCAGGCCCAGTTTGAGGCCCGTGCCAACTCAGAAGAGTCGGTGCTCCGCATTCACGGATCCTTCAGCTGGGTGAACCCAACCGACGGACAGACCTACACCGTCAGCTACGTCGCTGACGAGAACGGTTTCCAACCCCAGGGTGCTCATCTGCCCGTCGCCCCTATAGCTTAAATTACCCCTCAAATCGTCAATAATAGCATCAATACTCAAGTCTAGGTAATTTAATAAGCTATTTTGTAAATGGAATTCAAATACGGTTTACTTGTATTCTAGTTTCCCTTTTAATATTCAATGTATTATTATGTAATATGTTGAAGATAATAAACTATGGAAACATTTACATATAGAGGATCAGATAAGAGAGAGAGATAAGTCACTAATTTCATGGCGAATTTTAAAACATGTGATATGAAATAATGTTGTAGCTGGTCTGTTCGTGATGCAAAACCTTCTTACAGTAGTTTTAAGCAATGGAATTTTAATGAAGAAAATCGATTTCGTGAGATTTCATAATAACTTTGTAAAACTGTATTTTGAAATTTTATTTGATAATTTAATTTTTATCATAAATATAAAATAAATATCAATCAAGGTCTTAAAGGTTTCCAGAGCAATTTGATTTGTACCTCCTAGTTTTTAAATTATTGGGACGATAATGTTACGTAGCTATTTAAACATTGAAAACTAATAATAGAATTTTATAGGTAGTATTATAAAGTGATCTTAATTTGCATTTAGTAAAAGATATGAATGATACAAGTATTAAAAAAGGAACTTAAATGTTAGCATATTAATGTGAATATAATTTATTGAAAAATCATATATATTCAAATCATATAAATTACTACAAAACTCGAAATATGTATTACTTCCGATCCAGATTACACTACTGCATCTATTATAAATGCTATGTCATCAAGTTTTAAATTGAAGTCCGTAATATAGGCATCACCTAGCTTTGGACTTGACATAGATGACCGTGAATTTTGTAAAGGATGGTGGTTAAATATTTTTTTATCTATCATACTCATAGTGCAATAGCAAAATTTCAATAACATTGAAATAATAAATTAGAGATCAGCCAATGAGGAAATGTATCAAAAAATTTTCGATTTTCAATTTCAGTATATATACAAAATACAATTTATATAAATTTGGAAAATATCACGATATTTTTAATGTTTTTATAAACACCTACATAAAACGTTCTGAAAATGGTCAGTTGTACTTTAGATAGTAAAATTTTAATAGTTATTGTTTTAAGCCGCTGCAATAATTTAGTTTAATCATTGGATAAAAACCGTGAAAAAAGTTACGGTGAGGAATTAAGACATAGCTTTGAGAAAATATACTAGCTGGATTTTAAATATGAAATAGTTTATTTCGATGCTAGAACGTAAAAGCGATTTGAGTTTCTTGTGAAAATTTGCGCCCTAGCGAAACTAGAGTGAAGAAGATTTGATTGAAGAAAACAAGAAAAAATGTCGAGAACTTACTAGAACAGGTCTTACTTTTTCTGTTATCAAATTCTTTGTTATCCGTGTCTTAGAATATCAATTTTTATTTTAAAATCAAATATAAAAACGGTTTTGCGATAAAATTTTAAAACATGTCAAAATTTCATAAAAATAGCAATAAAGACCCAATTGAAAAATCAATGCTGTGGATAACATAGAGAAATTAATAATGAAGGAAATACTACATCGTACATTTAGATTGCTTTAGCAGATTAATTGAAATCGTGCGTGAAATGAAAATACGTTTAAAAATATATATGTAATATTAATAAATAATTTATTCTAAAATTTTTTAAGCCTTTCATTTTAAAATAAGTCATATCGGCAAAGTTTCCCGCCCAAATTCTAACTCCGTAAAGTCGATCGTATTCGATGTCGGTGCTCGTAATAGCGGCAAAGTTCATTGGGTACTGTTCGGGTGTCTCTCTCTCTCTCATCGGCTGCCTTAACCCTCCATACTAATATCGTCTCCTGAAGACGACGACGACGACGTTCAACAGTATTGAGGCGGGTTCGCATTCTCAAGGAAAAGTTGCACCATGCAGGCGAATCTTTTGAATTTGATGACGAGGTCCATGAAGGTAATAACGCACTTGTGTCACGCGGTCGTGTGATTGGTTTCAGTGAAGTGTTCTCCTTCGAAAGCTCTAAAAGGCAATCTCGACTGACCATTTTTGAAAGATTACTTCTTATATTCCGATTTGCCACAATTCATTAACAATTTTACGAATTTCGCCGTGGCACAATAATATTACGTTGATAAGCCATCATCCGTGAAGGAAGGTCGCTATTGAAAGACCGTTGGTTATGTCACTTTTTTGGAGGCGCTTCTGCACTGCTTGCGGAGGTCTTCTTTCGACTTACTTCTGTCTCGCTCGCACTTGTTTGCTTTAATGGATTTTGCGTTTACGCTTTTATCACTTTGGTACTTGAATTAAAAATGTCATAAGTGTCAAAATTTATGATTGAAAATATTATATTAAAGTTTATAGATTAATTTATTTAGCAGAATTCGCTATTCTAATTAATAAGCTCATATGTTTAGTGAATTTTATAAACTCAAATGCAAATCATCATCAAAAATATTTTAATCATGCTAATACTTTTTAAATAAAGTAATTAAATCTTTTATATTTCGCCATAAAATAAAATAATAAAATAGAAAGTACCTTTTTAAATAAAAAGCCATAAAAGAAAGGTTATACATTTTTTTGACAATCAATATAGATTTCATTTTCATTTACACTACTTTGAATTTCAACTTCATTTCAATTTTTTTATGAAATATTAATTCTGAAGATTAAATTCAGTTTAATCAGCAATATTATTTACAACATCAATGAAACTGACATTGCATTTTTGTTTTGCAGCCATCATGTATGAAGAGAGTTATGAGTCCTGTGCTGTCAGCTATGCAACAACGTGGGTATGCTAGTAATTTGGATGCTGACATTGTTGTTATTGGTTCTGGTCCTGGTGGTTATGTTGCTGCAATAAAAGCTGCTCAACTCGGAATGAAAACTGTATGCATTGAGAAAGATCCAACACTTGGTGGTACATGTTTGAATGTAGGCTGCATTCCTTCAAAATCGTTACTTAATAACTCACATTATTATCATATGGCACACAGTGGTGACTTAGATGAGAGAGGAATCAAAGGTAGTAATTTTTCATATAAATTGTTAATTGGCGGAGATCACGATATTTTTTATGTAATATTTATTATTTTCAAACTGACAGTTTCTGGAGTTAGTCTTGACTTGCCAAAACTTATGGAACAGAAGAGTAATGTTGTGAAGGCTTTAACTGGAGGAATTGCAATGCTGTTTAAAAAAAACAAAATAGAGCTAGTCAGTGGTCATGGCAAAATCACTGGTCCAAATCAAGTGACTGCTTTGGGCCCAGATGGCTCAACTGTAGCAACTGTCAACACTAAAAACATTCTAATTGCAACAGGAAGTGAGGTAGCTCCTTTTCCAGGTATTGAAGTTGATGAGAAACAAATTGTGTCATCAACTGGTGCTCTTTCACTAGCCTCTGTTCCTAAGAAATTAATTGTTATTGGTGCTGGTGTAATTGGTTTGGAATTGGGATCTGTATGGCAAAGGTAGGCAAAAGCAATTATTAAATAATAGCTATTCATGATAAAATAATTTACTAAAGATTCATATTTTACTCAGGTTGGGATCTGATGTGACTGCAGTTGAATTTATGAGCTCTATTGGAGGAGTTGGTATTGATGCAGAGGTCAGTAAAACCATGCAGAAAATTATGACTAAACAAGGACTTAAGTTCAAATTAGGAACAAAAGTGACAGCTGCTGCCAAAACTAATGGAAGCATTCAAGTCGCCTTAGAAGATGCTAAAGATCCCAGCAAAAAAGAAAACGTTGATTGCGATGTTCTTTTAGTATGCATAGGTAGAAGACCATACACCAAAAATCTTGGTTTGGAAGAAATTGGTATTGAAAAGGACGAGAAAGGAAGAATACCTGTCAACGGCAGGTTCCAAACTGTGATTCCAAAGTGCGTTTGAATAATTTTTTGTTTTATATATATGATTCAATGCACGATTTCAATACACTTGATTTTCTCAATTTTGTATAGCATTTATGCTATTGGTGACTGCATTCACGGACCTATGCTGGCACACAAAGCTGAAGATGAGGGTATTATTACTGTTGAAGGCATTGCTGGAGGTAAACTATATTGTGTTTATTATCAATAAATTGTAATCGTAATCGCTTGATTTAATTTAGTCACATTTATTGATCAGGTGCTGTACATATTGACTATAACTGTGTTCCAAGTGTAATTTACACCCATCCAGAAGTTGGCTGGGTAGGTAAATCGGAAGAAGACCTCAAGAAAGAAGGTATCGAATATAAAATCGGCAAATTCCCTTTTATGGCCAACTCAAGAGCAAAGACGAATCTGGAGACAGATGGTTTTGCGAAAGTCTTAGCTGATAAGAACACCGATAAGATTTTAGGTGTGCACATGATTGGACCGGCTGCTGGTGAACTTATTAACGAGGCTGTACTTGCTATGGAGTATGGAGCGAGTGCTGAAGATGTTGCTAGAGTTTGCCACGCTCACCCGGTAAGTATTACGAGGAAATTTATAGATAAAATGCAATTGTTTTTTTATTTGTAATAAAAAACTAATGAAAAATATTTCAATTTCAGACTTGCGCGGAAGCTTTGAGGGAAGCGCATTTAGCAGCATACTTTGGTAAACCAATTAACTTCTAAGACATTAGAAGCACCAGACATCATACTATACATCTCGGGAAGGCACTGTAGCTTAAAATCTAGTCTGCATTGTGAGACGTTACACACCGAGATAAAAAATACGTACACTGAGGCAAACTGTTCCGGTTGTCATTCTCTGCCTCTCGCTCGTCACTGCTAACTATGAACGATTAAAAAAAGAGGAAATTTAACCCAAAACTGTAAATAAGATTTTCAATTATCGATTTGAAAGTGGGACCAGTGGCCTTCTTTCAAATAAGGTTTATCATTGTCTTATCGTATTTATTGAGAATAAATCGATAGCCATTACGTCTCAAAGGTGTAAGAAGGCTGTGAAAAGCTCGCATCGAATTTCTTCTCAATCCTATACCCAAGATAAACGCTGACTTTAGGATACACGCTGATCGTTATTTATAATGCTCATTTCCTTCCTCAAAATGCATTTGATTTTACTTTCTGTAATTATCATTTGTTCTTCGTATATTGTTCATGTTTATAGTCTCTTTTTTTCAAATATGGAAATGTGTTTGGAAAACTTTCAATATCTGGATGTTACTAAATTATATTTTGAGGTATTTTTGAGCAAAAAACAAATTAAGGAATTTTTTAAAACAGTAAGCTGTTATATAATACATGTATTATATTAGGTTGACATTGTTATTGAATTATTCAATGAAAGCAATAAAGTTTAAGTTAAAAAAATGTGACACTTAAATAACATGAAGTCTGTCAAATATTAATATTTATCATGAAACATTAACAGATTTCGGTAGTTTCATTATCCGTTGAAGTTCATGAAACTGATGTATTATACATTGCCTGCTATTTTTAACGAAATAAAATGTTATAAAAGTTGCGAAACATTGAGCATATAGTGAAGATCACATACCAAATGTTTTTTTTAATTTAAACAAATTAATATTACCTGAAATTTTTTATTTTTTCGTGTAGTTATGTACAAAAATTAATATTTATAGTAAAAAGTAAAGGCTACTCTATAAAATTTCCTCCCACGGTATGTATGTAGATACGCAAATGTGTGTTGGAGATAGGAGATTCATTGTTTTACAATTATTTGCTGGAGCAAAGTTGGGATTCGGGAGATTTCCACAAATATACCCTGTGAAAGTAGTTATTGCTAAAGCAATTCTGGATTGTGTTATGTAGCAATTTTATTAGACAAAATATAAAAAAAACACGTTTTACAATTCGATTACAAAATGAATAACAAACAAAAACTCCATTTGCAATTATTGTATTCAAGTGGATGACAGTTGGATTTGTTATTCCTTTTCTAAATTTTTTGTCATTTAAAATGGCTGCACATGATTATTGAGAACTGCTTTAGCGCAAACTTTATATCAACAAATATTTGTCATAAATTCACCGAATCTCGCTTTTTCTTCATTAAAGAAGTCATAGAGTAAAGGGTTGCCTATTTTTGGAACGTATTTGTTTATCTATATATTTGTCAGAGGGTGTCATAAGTAATCTTATTTACAATAACTATAATCTGGAGTAGCAATATGGCCCTATACTTATGTATAAGTTGCCAATAAAAATTACACTATAATAACTAAGTTGGAATATCAATCACGTTTAATTATACGGTTATAAAAACATAATTTGCGACTTATGTCTCACTGAAGTGAAGGGCTCTACAAAAGTTGTGTGCATAACGTTGTACGAATGAACAAAATATATGCTTATAAACTCCAAAATGTTTTGCCATAACATTTAAAAACGAAACTTTAAAAATGATTCAGTTCAATACACGAAATGACTATGAACTTGTTTTCGTAATGAAAAACAAAATGAAATTAGTAAATTTAGTTCTTTGTCGCTTTCTTCCACTTCTATCGGTCAATCTGCTTCACGTTGTTTTTGATGTTAAAAAATTGCATATGCATAGACATTCAAAGATTCCCGCGTTACACACACGTTCCGGTGTCAGGGGCGTATAGACATAACAAGGCACCAGGAGGGGGTCAACGAGAAGTTAACCGTCACTGCTTGTCGATTGAAAGCCGACGAGCGTCGCGCTGCGCGGCGGTAGCGGGAGCCGGCGGCAGTGTCGGCGGCTACGAGGCACTCAGCTCAGTGCGTCGTCGTCTTCTGCCATCACACGGTTGCCGGCATCGTCCCCCCTCGTTCACCATCCAGCTATATACACAAACCCTGGCAACGCCGCGATTGTGCCGGGGAATAAGTTTTCTCGCTCACGCACACCCTGCCATGTAATGTTATTGTTGTCGTCGTCGTTTTGAGTGCAACAGTGCGCGAAGATGAGGTTGCAAGTTGTGTGCTATTAAGTGTTAAGTGCGAGATGTAGCTTTGCGCCGCCAAGATGATGTGGACAACCACGAGGACGACCAAATACGCTGTCGGTGAGTGCAAGCTCTTGTCGTCATTGCTGCTTTGTTACTATATAGAGGGGGATGATTTAATTGAGCGAGACGCCGCTATTTGCTCTCTCTCGCAGATTCTTTTTTGACATCTCGGGAAGGAGAGTATAGTGCTCATTAATATTAATCGAATCGCTTCTGTCTATCTGTCTGTCTGTCTGTTTGTCTGTCTGTTGTCTGTTTGTCTGTTTGTCTGTTTGTCTGTTCTCTCTCTCTCTCTTTCTCTCTCTCTCTCTCTCTCTCTCTCTCTCTCTCTCTCTGTGGTGGTTTCTACGCTTTTATTAGCTCTGTTTAATCACGAGCGATTAGCATTTAATTGTACTCGCTTCTAGCAAAAACGGTGGGATAGTAACCTTTTTATAAGAGAACTCTTTCACTCTCGTATTGTTGTTTGGCAGTAGAAGGAGGACACAATGCTTACTATATGCTTTGCTCATTGAATTACGGTGAAATGTTACATTTCCTTTTGTTATGTTGTGTTATGTGTACAGGGCGCCGAATGCGTTGTATGACTCACGACTAGTAATTTCAGATTAAAATAGCCAGGATGCTACGTGCAGTGTCAATAACGTTCAACATATTTTTTACAGACGACCAACGTGTTTCAGTTGCAAAACCATCACTGCCACTGCTGATTCATAACTTTATCCGCGTAAAATTAATGATGTTGTCGGCAGCGCGCAGGCGAAACAAAAATGTAACGCAAAGTAATAGGACAATTTCGTTATCAAGCAAATTAATGGTTCGTTTTGCATCGGGAGGAGGGCTAAGGTCGATTAGTCGAAAGCGTCAATGGACATGAGTGGGCAAAAAATTTTCTTAATTACTTGAAATTCTTCGCTGGTTCTTATCACCAGCGCGTCACATAAACGAGCTCATTCGCTTCGCTAACGCTGCCTTTGCATTTTGCTATTCCATGAGCGCGAAATGCGAGGCGCTTGACACGAGAGGCCGAATTATTTTTCGAGCGGGGAGGGGTTGAAAAACGCGTCGTTTTTGCTCACTTTCTCCCCTCTCCTCGCATCGTCGACGCACGCGGCTGCTCGGTGCGCGTGCCTTTTACGCGACCCATTCATACATTGATCGCTACAGCAGCCGAAGCGTCAGGAACGCAGTTGGTCCTTGCCGCGAGTTTTCGGTGTTGAAGTCGCTATTTCACGATCGTTCATAATTAGCTGACGACCGCATTCCGCTTACGGGGAATTCGTTTTTTTTCCGATTATAGGGGTGGCGACGTTTATTTTTCGTAAGAGGTTCGGTACAACGACTCGTTCGTAGAAGCAACATTGCTTTATTTTCATTTTCAATGAATCAAAGGCTTCTGTTGATTAGAAAATCGACAGCAAGTTTTTCGGCTGCATCGTCACAATACTCGTTAGCGAAATTAGATTTATTAGGTCTAATTGCGCATGTTTGAAAAAAAGTAGACACTCGCAGGCAGGGCACTGACCCAGTTTTTAAAAGTAGGTGTCTCTTAGCTAATTGCTTCAAAACGGTACGATAACAATACGTTTGTCTACTTCCAAGAGACACAAATGCTTTTTATCTTCACGCCTGTTACGCGAAAAAGTTTTAATATATTTTTTTTTCATTTTAAGCTTCACGTGGTACAGGAAAACAAATCGAACGTCCATTCAAAATCTCAATTCCAAATCTCCATTTGTTAAGCATCAGATTGCCTCTCTTGTCCAGCACTGCTGCTCATCTTAAATTTCGCAGCGCGTTTAATTTTCCCTCGTTCTCATTGTCATCCGCGCGGCGAATTTCGTATCCGTCAACGCGATCTCTTTCTTTCTCTCCCTGTCTCTCCCTGGGCTTTTTGCTCTGCCTCGCCATTGTTGCAGAGAGGCAGATGGGTCTTTGCTGATTAAGCCAAGTGCACCGACACCGACCTCTTCTATCTAGTATTCGGCCAAATTGGACTTGTTTGGACATCCACTAGGCTTTTTCCTTATTTGACTTTCACAGATGGAGAAAGCATTGTAATTTTTTATTCGTTCATGCGTGACTTTCATGCGCTTTGCATTCTCTCTCTCTCTCTCTCTATCTCTCTATCTCTCTCTTTCTCTCTCTCTTTCTCTCTCTCTCTTTCTCTCTCTCTTTCTCTCTCTCTTTCTCTCTCTCTTTCTCTCTCTCTTTCTCTCTCTCTTTCTCTCTCTCTTTCTCTCTCTCTTTCTCTCTCTCTTTCTCTCTCTCTTTCTCTCTCTCTCTCTCTCTCTCTCTCTCTCTCTCTCTCTCTCTCTCTCTCTCTCTCTCTCTGTTTTCGCCAGTGTATTAAATGACATCAAAATAATGTAACGTTGTCGCTGATAAAGACCCTCTTGTCTTATAAGATATCATGGATATTATAAAGCATCTAATCAATCGGCTTTATCGATGTAGCGTACTATCGCTTATTAGTCATAACTCTGTTGTGCCCTTTTCGCATTTTTGCTTCTTTGTCTATATTTAGATGCAATTACGTTGTAAAGATGCGATTGTTACTGAAAGCAACTCGAGGAAATTGGGTCAATTACGCATACTACCATTCCTTCCGATAATCCTCTGGCAGCCTCGTTAAAAATCAATCATGAAAACCTATTATTCCGCAATAAAAGTTCCATGACGAGAGTGCCTCTTTGCCTTTCGCGGCCTCTCTCTCTCTCTCCCCCTCACTATCTCTCGTTCTCCAGATTTCTATCAACTGATAATTGTCGATCGATAACATTGGCACAGAAATTTACGCGTAGGTTTCGGAATGCCATCGCCACTGTGCTAATTGATCGTCGCAGTTCAACGCTGGAAAAGCGCCACGTTCGCAGCTGTCTTGGCGGGGATGCACAAAAGCTCGTGGAATAAAAAAAAATCGGAACCTTAATAAAACGAGGCACAAGAGCGCCGGGTCGCTTAATTCCGGGCGCGCTCCCGCGACCCTCGGCGAGATCATCGAAAAGAAGCAGCGGAGGAATGAAATGTCGCGCACAATGCGGAAACGCGAAGGAACGGGAACGCACGCGCGTTTCCAGTTCTGCTGCCGGTGCTTTCTTCCTCTTCTCTTTGAGGGATCGTTTGTTTGTCGTCGTCGAGTTCGCGCTGCGCGTCCGAAAGCCGCCTCGGACGTTGACGCGGCAATGGACGAAGTGGGTCTTTTGCGAAAGCCGTTCTTGCGCTCGGCCAGGCGAGAAAAGCGGTTGGATTTCCTTGCGAGCGTGCGATTGAAAAACGACAGTCTAACTTTGTCAAGTGTCGCCGCTGACGCGCGTGGACGCGCGTGAAACGCGGAATTGACGGAGTTGCGAAAACCTGACGCGCCAAAACTCGTTTCCACCGAGTGGCAAGAACCTTCGCTCAGTTTTCCTATTTCTCCGAATCGACAGACTCGCCGTTGCCGATGTTAATCGTACAGGAGAGGGAGAAAAAAGCCCGTCGGTGATTTATCGTTACGTCTGTATATTCTCGATGTAGCCGGCACCACATCGCGCGTAAGCCCACATGCGCGCGAGTCTATATATAAAGATTGATTGCTTTCGCTCGGAAGCGCCGCGGAAGCTCCACGCGCATTCCAGCTGAATGTTTTCACGGAGATGGAGCGCCTTCCAGCTCTAATGATCGGCTGCGTGCGTTAAACGCGCGTTACGTCACGCGCGACAGGCACACGGCGACTTCCGTCGTTGCAGCTGCACAGCGGATGACCGCGAAGACGAACCGTTGGATGCGCGCGTATACGTCGCGGCGCGCACTCAACGCGTCCGCGTGAAAGCGGATTGCACGTTGTTCGCGCAGCGACGCGCGAGGAAACGAATGCGCGCTTTCAATGCCTGCTGAAATAGAGAGACCATTGGAGCGTGTGCCGATGCGAGAGAGGCGATAAAGCGCCAACGATTTTCAGCGTGGACACGCTGTCGCGCTGATAAGTCGCGTCGCACAATGCTGCCACGGAGAGCAGCGATTTTTTGTTTTTTATCAGCTTTTCGGTGGAACCTCGACCCGCTGCAATCCATCATTCGAACGCGATACGAGCACCCTTTGAATCGTCGCAGTGGAGGCTCGCTCAGCTTGACAATGGTTTTCTCCTCGTCGCACACACCTTAGCGCTATCTCCTTAGTTACGTTTTACGGGCGAAGAGTCGTAAAGCTTGCAGCCTAGTAAAATGTCGAGTATGCGCAATTAAAATATGGGCAGCATCGTCGTACGCCGATCCTCGGAGATTTAACGCGGCTGCGCGCGAGACACGCCGCTCGGGGGCCAGCGTTTCGCTGAAGCTCGCAGCTAAAAAAGGATCGTCGAGCCTGCCAATCGTCAAGCAAGTCAGACCACGCGCGCGACAATCCATCGTCGGCAAATTGCGTCAACGGATATGTGCCGCGCGCCACATATAAATATAGGAGCGATCGCGCGGTCGTCCTCGCTCGTTTCGAGCTGGGAAGCCTTTGAAGGCCGCCAGCGACCCTCCCTCGTCGCGCGCTGGCGTGGACTTTCGTACGCGTAGCTCGCGATTATTTTTGGGGGCCTCTCGCGAAAGGCGCACGACGCGGCGGTCTCGCTCGCACAGTGTGAGTCGTCGAGTCGTTGCGCCACCTTCTCGCGATGTCACGCGGAACATCGCCGAGCCAATGACGATTATAGATGTCAAGTCTTGCGGATGTGAAGAGTGCTGAAGATCAATTAATATCGACGATACGCTTAAATAAGTTTACGCTGATAATTTAATGTTGCTTAACGCAAAGGAAAATGCGTGGGAAAGATTTCCAATGAAATTGAACATGACGTTATTGAGTGACACTTGAACTTCGAAGGCACTCGCGGTTGGCCTGGCGGTAATTGTCGCATATATCAGCGGCGATAATCTATTTTCTTCGATCTTGATAAACGAGCGTACATCGTGAGTCTCGCGGTGCTCGTCGACGCGACTCGCGCGTGCAGTAAACAACCCCGATGCCGTCGCGCCACGCTGGAATTGTCGCTTCGTGAGATTGATTTGATGTGCTTTAGAAGGAGGGAG